TGTGTGTGTGTGTGTGTCAGGGGTGGGTTTCTCACCCCATTCCAACCGGTTCGGTTGGAACGGAGCTGGCGGCGTCCTCGTGCATGCGCGCGGCACACGCATGCGTACTAGCGTCTGTGCGATGCTCCAGCTGCTCCTGGAGGATCGCGCAGGCACTGTATGCGTGGAAGCGCAGAACTCATCAAAACCGGGTAAGGAGCGCGGGCAGGCGGGTGCGCCCGTCGCCGTTCCCGGAAGTTACTTACTTCCGGGTTCGCCAACCAACCGGTTCGCAGGGACCACCACGAACCGGTTGAAACCCACCCCTGCAATGCACCCTACATTGGGTCAAAAAATGAAATAATAGTAGTAATCAAATTACAAATGTTATTTGTCTGATATTCCCTTTCGCCAACAAACCCTCTAGTATAAACAAATGGTAGGTGCTTGCTACTAGTGCACATTTTCCACCACTTCTGCATATCTGCTAGCTGGAGGGGCTGGGTACATGTACAAACAAGCACTATAAGCACCAATCCATAGCCTTTTGCTCCTGAGCAGCCCTGCAGAATTTAAGAAGGTTTACAAGAATACGTTATAAAAAGCAGCCAGAACTAACAGGCAAGCAATGCTGTTAGATTCTAACCCAAGGAGCAAAGCAATGAATTGCTGAAAAAAGGAGAAATATGACAAAACAAACTGCACAGAGGGTGGAAACTAGAGGAGGCACTGCACAAAATGCGTAAAATGAGATCATTTTACCTTTAATGGCCCTTCCCACTTTGACTTCAAGCCCGAAAAATAAAAGAAAGAATGCAGGACAAAGATTGAAAAATGCAAACAGATTTGATGGATAACATAGTTTCTACTATTAAGAAGGGTAGTCCTTCTAACTACGCTCTACAGCTGTGATGTTTGGCACTTGGTATGGTTTATGGGAACTAAAGCTGAAAGCGCACAAGCAGTCCAAGCCTAGGGAGCTAAATCTCCCAACAGCTGCAAAGCAGAGAAGTGATGGGACTATTTTGGGGGAGACCAGCAGATAGAAGTGGAATGCTTAACCCTTGCCTGCATAGTTCCTCCTGCCATCTCCCTTTCATTCTACTATTTTCTCCATGACAGTCACATTCATACCGATTGGATGCAGAAGTTTAGACACATCTGATTGAACTCTTAACTTTCTTTGAATTAATAAGCTCATAGAAGAACACCCCACCTGTGCACAGGGCAAGGCTAAGCACACCTTTCCAGAAATATTAATGCATGCTTACTGATTACATGCTCAATTCAAAATGAGCAAACAGAGACAAAAAAATATGGACACCTTCCCATGCAGAGTTTAGCCAGCTTTTGTTCATTTTGTTCATTTAGGCATTCATGGAAATATACAATTGGACCAGAGTTGCCAAAATTTGGGCATGCAACTGTGAACTGTCTCTAGAAAAAATGTTGGTGGTTACATGGCAGGGGGAATCCTGAAGCACCCCCATTGTCTAGGAAATTCTATGCAATTTGTGGTTATGTCCTTATTCATGGCATTGTGAATGTTCACTCCCCAATCAATATAAATATATTGGCATCATATCAAAGCTCCTAGTTTTCAACAAAGATTGGCAACACCATATGGAGAAAGACAGAGGATCTCTGCATCACTTCAAAGCTTTCGAAGAAAACTATGGAGTTATTTTTGCAAAACATCTGTGATTGATTGCATTTGGGGTATTGGGGATACACTGTAAGAGGCATTTCAGCAGTCTGATGATTGCATGTATCTAACTTTTTCAACCAACCATATCCCCATAACTTGACATTTATAAATGCAGTGATTCTTTTACCTCCTGCCATGGTAAGGGCAGCATCAAGAGCAGGGTATACCTCCTTTCCCAGCTGTTCCCAGACTCGATTGCCAAGCAATGTCTCAACATCTGTTGGAGAAAGAAATGATGGGAAGAAAATCAACTGCCAATTAACTGGGTGTACAACTTTGCATTTAAACATCCTATGTTAGCTACAATCCAAACAGCATGTAAATTATAATTGGGGAAACAATTAAACAATTTACATTGGAGTAACACTGGACTGGATTTTTGATATATAAAATACACCTAGAGAATAAGCTGCAAAAATCAATACTAGGAACAAGATACTCCAGAAATTATTTGATACTAAATGCGGAGTTTCAGCTGCCTTCAGGTCATCAGTACTAGGATTGGTCTACTCCAGTGGTTCCCAAACTTGGCAACTTTAAGACTTGTGGACTTCAACTCCCAGAATTCTCCAGAGCTGGCTGGAGAATTCTGGGAGTTGAAGTCCA